AGGAGGAGGAAGAGAAGGAAGAGAAGGAGGAAGAGGAGGAAGAGGCCTCTCGACGGCTTCTTGGGGCACTGGGGACCAAGCTGGGTCGTGGACAGGACGCCTCTTTGGATGGCTTCTTGTGGCCTCTGGCAAGGCCTCTCGGGGGCCTCTTGGAGTCATGTTTGGGACCTCTGCTGTGTATTCGGCGTCAGCGTCGGACGCGAATGCGCGACCATGTGAAATGACCAGTGTTCTATATTGGTGTGCCCGCGGGACCATCTTGAATGACATATGCTATGTCATGGGACCATAGTGACAGGTGCTATGTGTTGGTGTGCTCGTGGCGAACGAAAGGAGGAAGAGGAGGATGAGGAGGAGATGAAGGAGGAGGAGGAGGAGGAGGAGGAGGAGGAGAAGGAGGAGGAGGAGGAGGAGGAGGAGGGGGAGGAGGAGGAGGAGGAGGGGGAGGAGGAGGAGGAGGAGGAGGAGGAGGAGGAGGAGGAGGAGGAGGGGGAGGAGGAGGGGGAGGAGGAGGAGGCCTTCCTGCTCCCCCTACCTTCCTCGGCACACCGACTGGATCGTGGACAAGATGCTTCTTTGGGAGGCGTTATGTTTCTCGTGGCAGGCATGCCAGGCGGGGGTCTCTCGGGCTTGTCTGGGACCACCGTGGGGCAATCTTGAGGCACCTTGGGGCTCTGTTCGGGCCATCGTGAGGCCTGCCACCTAGTGATGCGGACTCATGGGCCCTCTGGGAGCTCCCTTGGGGTCTCTTGGGGCGCTCCTGGGGCGATATTGAGGAAGCCGAAGTCGCCCCTGGGAGTTCCAGCAACCTGGAGCGGACCTTGCCAGGACCTTGCTGGAACCTTACCGGGACCTTGCCGAGAGTCGGCCAGGGTACTTGTCGTCACAGAGAGGCAGTTCTCATCTACACAAATTCATTCAATTTTTTGTTCCTCAGGTAAGGCCCCCCACTTGGCAGCTTCCCCCGCAAATGATCAGCAACACCGTTGGCGACTAATCGTTTGGGGGTCTGCCAGACCTGCATTTCAACAAATCCCACGCCAGCCGCAACAGATCCAGCATGCAAGGGTGATCACCCTCAACATTATTTCTGGACATTGCCTCGGCGATGGGGAGATCGTCGGTGTACAAGGGCGCGACGTCCTCAGCAAGGCGAGGCATCTGGACCAGGACGAAGACGCCAGTCCTGGGTGAACTCTGATCCTCGCCATGCGAAGTGCCACAGATGACTCTTGAATTAAGTCGGGCCTGTCCCTCTACAGGAGAAATCTTCAAACATACCAAAAAATTAACCTGGGGACGATTTTTCCACTATTGTTGATTATTTTGGGATTGTTTCCGTATGTTTTATTTTTCGTCCAAAATCCCTTTGTAGGGGGACATGCCTGACCTAACTCTTGAATCATCGAGAAGGAAAGAGCCTAACCCTAGTAACACAGTGAAGACGTGGCCTCCCTGAGGTCTCTGTCTTTGCATTCGGGATGATGAGTCTGGGCGGCTTGGTTCGATACATCTGCAGAGCAGAGCCCCTGCCCCTAATTTTGTTGGCCCTCCTAACTTCGGTCCCCTCACAAAAGGTTAGGGCTTTCTGGGTTTTTCATCCAAACCTGCAGAGATCCTTGATACACAAGAACAACCGACCACGCGCATCTCCTCAACCTCCAATCTTTTGTATGGACTTCTCCAGAACCGTCACTGCCAAACATGCCTCCTCGCACCATAGTGCCCTCTCTCAGACCATCATGAAATAATTCCCAGACCCAAACTTACGCTCCAACGAGTGGGAGGCCGCCGAGAGTCCAGCCGAGCGGGACGAGATTACGGGTCCAGAAACATTCAGACTCGGGCACGTTATCATGGGAGTTTTGGATCATATGGCATGTACGATGGGTCAAGTCATCATCAAGATTCGCACTATCTTGACATTCCCGGTGCCTAAGCCAGGGAGTCTCGGGACGAGCTTCGCAGCGACTACACATTCCGTTGCTGAGGTTGCCATTGCCCGCCTGCAGCAATATGACCCACCACAATAGAGTCTCCATCACAATCTCCCTGCTTGGTGAGGGAGCTGCGCAGCTTCCTCAACACGGTAAGATTTACACCTTCATGTATTCCCATGAGATTTAGACGCTTGCCCCCATACCATCGTATTGACCTGCTTATACATAACTTTCCAGGGACAAGCGGGGACATCACGCCGATTAACACGCAGAGTCATCTCGTTAACGTCACCCAAGGGGTTCCCGCTGAACTCCAACACCCATGATGACGGACGCAATGGGCCCTCGACCATGACGCCAACGATGAGCCTGGGGGACACCTCGAAGTCTTTCAAGAATCCGCGGCCAGGCTAGTTTCACATTGCTGACTTGAACACGGTCGAGGGCTGAGTGCGGCTCCATTCTAGAAGGTGCTCACATCTAATCTTACACGTGGGATCATCAGACATCGCCTGGTCCAAGGCCAGGAGGGTAGTCGTACAACATCCAGCCTGCCACCGACCAGACGTTTTAGCTGCTCGTGCTGTCAAATGTAGCATCTGAGAGGTCGGCGTGCCTAGTACCCGGTGGCTCCAACATCCTACGGAACCGACTCCTGGCTTGAAAACATTCCTCGCACGAGGGTTCGGCATGAGCAAGGAACGTGATTTAGGACGGCCAACCTTGTGCGACGACTCAACTACACACGACTTCGAAGAAATCGGAACATTGTACTTCTTACGTAAGCAAAGTGCGAAGTTCACGAGTAGCTGGCACTAGCTTCGAGACAATATCTTGCACTGAGCCTTGGATGCGCTTTGTCAAGTCATCCACATAAGCTGAAATCGGTACGCGTGGTACCCAGTGGTGGGCTGCTTCCAGAACGTAATATAAGTAGCAGCACTTACTCCAGGGCAGCGATTGGGAACAACCAGCGAGGATAGATTGGCCAGCTTGCATAACGCCACTAAGCATTGGGCCTCGAGAAGCCTTGCTGAAGTGTGGACCAGGGGGCCCGAGTAGAGGAGCATGGGGGAGTGGTCGACAGCCTGAGCCAAGTGGACCAGCTTACTCGGATCTCTGGTGTCCAGATCCCAAGGGGCCGAAACCGAACACACACCTTCCTCCGAAACCGAATTCACACCTGAATCGCTTCCGAAGGAGGATGAGGACGAGGAGGAGGAGGAGGACGAGGAGGAGGAGGAGGGGGCGGCGGCGGAGCTTCATTGAGACTAAGTAAATATTGGCATTCGAGAAGATTGGCGTAGACCCCATCAGCATGAAATGGCCACCCAGCGAGGCTTGGCAAAAGCACATCGTGTAGCGGTGCTGCAGCCTCCCCCCTGCGTGGACGATGATGATAATAATGAGGATGATGTTGCTGCTGCTGCTGCTGCTGCTGACGATGCGGATGGGGACGATGATGATGATGACGACGATGACGATGATGATGATGATGATGATGATGATGATGATGATGATGATGATGATGATGATGATGATGATGATGCTGACGATGATGATGATGATGCTGCTGATGATGATGATGATGATGCTGACGATGACGATGACGATGATGAAACTGATGCTGCTGCTGATGATGTTGATGATGATGCTGATGACGAGGATGATGATTATGATTATGCTGATTTGATGATGATGCGGATGATGATGATGATGATAATGATGATGATGATGATGATGATGATGATGATGATGATGATGATGATGATGATGATGATGATGACGATGCTGATGCTGATGCTGATGCTGATGATGCTGATGCTGCTGATGACGATGATGACGATGATGATGGTGATGATGGTGATGATTATGATGATGATGCTGATGATTGATGATGCTGATGCTGATGCTGATGCTGATGATGATGATGATGATGAGGATGAGGATGAGGATGAGGATGAGGTGAGGATGAGGATGAGGATGAGGATGAGGATGAGGATGAGGATGAGGATGGGGATGGGGATGAGGATGAGGATGAGGATGAGGATGATGATGATGATGATGAGAGGATGAGGATGAGGAGATGAGGATGGGATGAGGATGAGGATGATGATGATGCTGATGATGATGATGATGATGATGATGATGATGATGATGATGATGATGATGATGGTGCTGATGATGATGATGATGATGATGATGATGATGATGATGATGATGATGATGATGGTGGTGGTGATGATGAGGAGGAGGATATGGCAAGGAGGATGAGGAGGAGGAGGAGGAGGAGGAGGCCAGCTGCCGGTGTTAAAATCCTCAGCGAGCACAGCGTCGAAGCGGGGTGGGAGGCCTCGGGGTCTCTGGCCGTGGCGGGAGGAAAACCTCCTCGCTCTACGCTTCCTGGAGGGTTTCTTTTCTGCTGCGGGCGGCATGTCCTATCCACGGGCCGTCCGCGATTGAAGCTCCACGGGCTTCCAGGCCCCGGATTCCTTCTCCAAGGGTTCTTTCGGAGGAGGGGGAGGAGGGGGAGGATGAGGGGGAGGAGGAGGAGGAGGAGGAGGAGGAGGAGGAGGAGGAGGAGAAGGAGGAGGAGGAGGAGGAGTCCGTAGCCATTTGGGCTCAGGGTGTGCTATCACTCTCAACGGCAAGCGATAGTTCAGATATCGTACTCCTTCGGCCTCGGAGCCCGCTCGGCGCGCGCTGGGCCTGGCTCCTCCGCTTCGCGCATGGGTCGCGGAGGCGGAATCCCAGTCCGCCATGGCATGACCGTGGCGCACGCACGGACGGTGGAGGAGGCGGCAGAGCTCATCGTGGTGATCGGGCTCAAGGCCGCCACTGTCCCACCGGCGCTCGACGTCCTCGACAGTTTCGAGCACGTCCTCCACACGGCGGGTCGCACCCTCGGCCTAGGCCGAAAGGCGACTTCGGAGGAGGTCCGTCGCGACCTCCACTCCTCCGAGCCCGACCTTGCGAGGAGATGGCAGGTGCGGAGAGCGGGTCGGCGCCTGATCGCGCATCCCGACAAGCAGCTCGGCATGGAGATACAGGCCGCCCTGCATGCTGTGGCTGGCTCAGGGTGATGGGAGGGGTCGCAGTGGCCCTGAAAGTGCTCACGTTGATGTTCTCGCGCGGGAGTCTGACACCAGCACCGACGGCAAGACCATTGAGGGCAAGGACACGCTGGACGTGGAGCAACAGCTTGGCCTCGCGCCCGCCCAAACCCTCCCCAAGAACATCGAATGGACTTCTGAGTCGGAGGCCAACCAAGGATTGGACCCGCAGAAGTTCCCAGACCCCATCGGCAAGACGTTTGGGATGGACGGCACGGACTACTTCGACATCAGCTCAGACAAGGACGACATCGGCGAGAAGGCACTTCACGACATCTCTTGACGCTCAGGGCGGATGTGCTTAGCATCGTGGGTCGTCTGCCAGCTGCCGCCTCTCTTTCTCTTGAGGATGTCAACCCCATCACAACGGACAGGGATCACAAGACCATTGGCACGATGACAGGCATCGACGAGACAATGGAGAGTGCTTCTGTGCAGGAGTCCGTTGATAGCAACATGGGGAGCGCAGGCCTACGGGGACCTGGGCCCGCGAGCGTGGCTAGTACGGTCATCGGTGCTTCGGGCAGCTACGGTGCAGGCTTCTCCGAGACCGCCTCCGTGGACCACGGCGCACCCGCGCGCAGTCAGCGTGCTTCGATTGTGACGTCAGGGGCAATGACCTATCTCCCATGTTTGGTCTTGCGGTCGACATCGTGACGAAAAGGGCGCCCGTGGTGAGCCGCGACGCCACGATCAGTAAGGTTGCCGCTAAGGTGGTTGTCAGTTCTCTCGGACAGTGTGACCCCATCCACAGGACTGGCCCTCTTTTTTCAGGAGGCGCTGGCAGAAGCTGTTATCAGGCGCCTCCTGTTAGGCTCAGGCCGCCGCTTTCCCTAAGGGCCGTTCGGGTATGATGCGTGGTGCGTGGCGTGGCGTGGGTGCGTATCTGGGACCTAGCTGTTTAGGGTCTCTGCACTCCTTCCCCTCCTCCTCCTCCCTCCCACAGCCAGCAGAGGAGACGGCCAGGAGAGGCCTGGGCTCTGCCTTCTAAATGGGGTGGGAAGGGTGGGGGTCGGTGCCGAGGGGGCCCTCGCTCTCGCCCACCGCCCTTGTGGCCTGGCTGCCCGAGACGCCCTCGGGGCGCCCAAAGTTGTGCGGGCAGCAGGCACCGCATTCAGTCTCGCCTCCCCCCCTTCCCCCTCCCACTGTCAGTGGCAGGACTTGCTTGGAATTGTGGGTGGGTTGGAGGAGGAGTGGGGGATGCCAGCTTTGAACGAGGAGTCGCTCAGGGAGGCGGCCCTCGATTGGACGGGTGCCAATGCGGCACTCCGAGCGCCAGGGCAGAACAGGCTCGCCCAGGCTGGGGATTTCGGACGCACCTATCTTCTTGTTCCCCTCCTTCCTCCCTCCTCTCGGCCTTCCTTCCTCTCCCAGGTGCGTCCCTAGTCCCCGTCCATCTGTTTTGGATTATTCTTGTGCATAACACGAGCTTTGAACCTGTGTGTGCATCTCTGCATCTGAGGAGGAGGAGGATGGGGGAGGAGGAGGAGAAGGAGGAGGGGGGTTCCTTCTCCGGTGCCCCCTCCTGCCAACCCATCCCAAAGGGGCTCACCGAGTAGCCCCGAGCCCGCGTGGCGCGGCTGCGCCGCCGCGCGCCGCCGCGCGCCGCCCGTGCGAGGACGAGCAGGACGCTGGCGGCCTGGAGGACGCCGTCGTCGTCGTCGTCGCCGTCGTCGCCGTCGCCGTCGTCGTCGTCGTCGTCGTCGTCGTCGCCGTCGTCGTCGTCGTCGTCGTCGTCGTCGTCGTGGACGCCGTCGTTGCTGCCGTCGGCGGCGTCGACGCCGTCAGCGTCGGCGTCGTCGCCGCCACCTTTTGCGTCCTCCTCGCCTTCGTCGCCGTCACCGTCGGCATCGGCGTCGTCCGCTGGCTTCGGTGTCGTCACCGTCGTCGCCGCAGCCGCTGTCGACGTAGTATTCGTTGTCGTTGCGGCTGGCGTGGGCGTCGCGCCGTGACGTCGACGGCGTCGGCTCTGTCATGGAAGCCGTCGTGGCGGCGTCTCCGACGTCGACGGCACGGGCGGAGGAGGAGGAGGAGGAGGAGGAGGAGGAGGAGGACTGGTGGGGAGGAGGCGGAGGGAGAGAAGCGCCTTCTCCCTCCTTGTTCCACACTCTTTCCTTCCTGCTTGCTCTCCCTTCTATCCCTCCCCTCCTCTGTTTTTTCCTTCTTCTCCTCCCCCGCATGAGGCGGAGGAAGACGAGGAGAAAGAGGGGGGGGGACGGGAGAAGGATGAGGAAGGATGAGGAGGAGTAGGACGGGGGAGGAGGAGGAGAATGAGAATGAAGGACGTCCTCTTCCTCCCTCTTCGCACTCTTTTTATCTGTCCCTCCTCTTTCTTCTTCCACCTCCGCAGGAGGCTGATGAGCAGGAGGAGGACACGGAGGAGGATGAGAAGGAGGAGGGATGATCAGGCGAGGAGGATTCTGATGAGAAGGAGGAGGAAAAGGCACGAGGACGAGCAGGCGGAGGAGGAGGAGGAGGAGGAGGAATGAGGTGGAGGAGGAAGAGGAGGAGGAGGATGATGAGGAGGAGGAGGAGGAGGAGGAGGACGTGGACGATAACATATGGGTTCTCGGGGGTCTTGGTGTGTCTTGGAAGCTTCTTATGTATTCTTTACGTTTGGTGTGTCCCCAGTGAAAGGAGGATGAAAATGAGCAGGAGGAGAACGAGGAGGACAAGGACGAGTGGTTTGAGGACGAGGATGAGAAAGGAAATGAGGGAAGGAGGGGAGGGAGAAGGGAGAGGGAGGGAGGAAGGTGAGGAGCGGAGGGGGATGAGTTACAGCACGCACTTGTAAGTTCAACGCATGTGCTCCGCATTGTCTTGTTTGGTAAGGATGGAGCCCTGCCAGATCTGGTTGCGCCTCCGCACGGTATTACTTGCAAGGGAAAGCGCGCACGAAATGGACCGGATTGTGTTATTTGCTATGGAAAGTGCCTGGAGCCAGATGGGGTCTGGTCTGGCAAGAGGGAGAGTGTCATTTTCGTAAAGTATCTTATGACCTTTCGCCAATTCCTCCACCATTCCTTTGGGGATCTCTTGGGAGGCCTGTCCGAAGCCTCTTGGAGGCGTTTTTGGGGCGTCCAGGGGGCCTCTCGGGGGCCTCTCCGGGCCTGATTTGGATCTCTTGGAGGCCTTCTGCGGCTTCTGGGGGTTCTCTTTAAGGCCAGCTGGCGGTCTTGGGGGTCATCTTGGGGCGGACGGCTCGAAACGTCGGTTCGTGTTCCCCCTCTTGGGCTTCTCTGGGGGAGATCGTTGTTTTGTATAATGTATTGCCCGCCTGCCCAATCATAGAAGTGTTTCTTTTTCGTGCCCTTCGTCTCGTACAGTGATCCTTCGTGTTGGAGGCCGTCTCTGAAGTGATCGTTGGGAACGTATTACAAAATTCATCCTTATCCCCCAGTCCACTCACGATGCTGTGCGAACTTACGAACCCATACGCAAATCTTGACAATGGCGGTTGTGCGGACTGGTGCGCGCGGTGGCCCGCGTGGTATTTTTTTCGCAGGAACGGTGCACGCTGAGCGTGCGCGTGAGGCTCGCGCCGTAGTATTTGACACGGACGGGCCTTCGCCTCTCTCGATTGGGGCTGCGGATTCTTCTCGCGATCTCTCTATTCAGCTGGCTCGTGATGCGAACGGCACGCGGGCGAGCCAACATGTCAGCACCGAAACACCTGCATGCTGCAACGGGAAAGTATTTGGGGCATTTATAAGATCAACACATGTGCATTGTACAGTCTTCTTTCACGGGGGTAGCGCCCGTTCAGCGCGCGCGCGGGGCCCGCGTGGCCGTTTGTTTGTGGTAGTGTGCGCGCGTTGTCCACATCGTATCACGTATTCACATGGAACATGCCCTCTGGATGGGGCCTGGCCCTACGGGTTCCAGCTTGAGATCAAACGTAAAGTTCTATTCGTAGAGCTAGAGCAGGAGAGAATCGAACAGAGCAAACATTACAAATGAGGAGGACGGTAGGGTAGAGTAGCGGGGACACGCATAGACCGAAGGGAATACAAGGTTCGGCCGCGTATGTGTTTTTCATTACAATGCCCCTGTCCCGCAAGCTAATAGTTGGAGCCAGCGCCGACAGAGATTGCCGTCTGTTGATTGTCGTAGTTGTAGTCTTCTCATGGCTCGACACCACTGTCTGGGTCTTCAGGCCAGCAGGGCATCCGACACATACGTTCATGCCATCGCGTTGCCACATGTGGATTATGTTCATCCTCAGGCAGACCACCGCGGAGTCTCCCCCCCTGGGCTACTCTCTCTCGCACTATTTGCCTGGTGTGGCCATACGCGTCGTCCTGCTCGGTGCAATTGTTTAACCTTCCCCAGCGGTGGAAATTACAGACCCGTCAAGGGCGAACGGTTGCGCAGCTTTGGGGGAGGGTCAGCCGTTGCCAGTAAGTTGCGGCATGGCCGAGTAGGTATGATCGTCTGTGATTTACGGAGACGACTACACCCGTCTGTGGAACTTATACTTCTTGCCAGAGGAGACTATATCGTTGCATAGTCATATTCATGACCACCAGTTCTTGGCAGTCCAGCCAACATCGCTCGCTGTTTGGGACGCCGACGGCAACTACAGGTTCAGTTTCGAAGCTAGTGGAATGTTACCTCTCAGGGTCACTGGCGATTTCCTGGAGCCCCAGCCTGGGACGACATTGTCGTGCACGGTGCCCCGTACCCGCGCGGCGAAACACGTCGGCAAGAGAGTGTATCGCGAAATGTTTTCGATCGCACGACCACTACCAACAGGACGAGCACGAAGGTAGAGCTTTTCAAAGAGACGCTGGGACCTATTTCAGGTGCCTGGAGGATGCACCTGCCTGCCTTGACACAGTGACGCATCGTCGGGTCCAGCGAGTTGGTCATTGTCATGCAAGCACGGCCGTCGCATCGCCAAAATATTCTTCCGACGGAGCACGGCACGGGTGCTTGCAACGCTTCGTGCATCCGCATGAAGCCGCGTGCGTAACCGCTACATCATGCGTGTGAAGCGAAACGCACGCGGGTATGAGGAAAGCGGTCTTCTGTGCGCGACCACAGTTCGAAGCCCGCAGGGTCAATCAAAGGACAGATGCTGATATAAACAGCGGCAGCGGACGCGTCAACGGTGCCGATGCAACTGAAGCCATGAACAAGGATAACCAGACGATGACACGCACGAGTGCATGCTGGGAGCCCGTCCTCCTTCGAGCCTCAAGCTGCGTGCACTACTGTCACGGATGGTTGAAGCTCTCGGACGTGAGGCGTTTGGGGACGCCCTTCTTCCAGAGGGAGAGG